AAGCGAATCAATTGTATTAAAGCTGTTCTCAGTTTTAGTAAAGCGTTGTCTAGAATTTCCCACAACTTTGAGTCCAAATCGGGAATGGATTTGATCTTAAAATCATTGGCGCCGTCATCGGTAGCAGTGATTGAGTCGCGTTTATAAGTGCCAAAAGCGTTACATAATTCAGAGAAATTGGTGGCCGACTCAGTGATGGCAATGGTCTCTAATGTGGATAAATGAGCGCAAAGAGCTTTCACTGTTTGGATGATGGACTGCGACTGCAATTGTCCACTGCCTGACACTTGGGATACAATGAACAATTAATATCTGTTTCAAAGGTAACTATTTCTTAATAATTACTTCTGGCGTCTGCTCTGAGTTTAGAGATCTCTCGGTCGAAGTTTTCGAGCAAAATATTTATGGTTTCAGTACTGAGTTCTCCGAATTTGCAAACAATTGCTTTCGGAATAATCTCATCGACAGTGAAGTCGATGTTATGGTCGTCTCTGGAGGTGCGAGCAAAAGGACGGCTCAAGTCCTTGATGTCGACTAAACTCAAGTGGACGTCTAATAGTTTGAATACCGTGACTACCTGCATGCTCATTAACCGATTTTGGCTCAGTGTGCGATTCATAAGCCAGTTTGGCATGTGAAAGTCGTTTATCAGTAGGTAAAACTGGATTTTACGTAAAATGCCTCAATTAAGACTTATTAAGACAATTAAGACTTTATGACCAGAAAATAAACTCACATTAGAAGCGTCTTCGACGAGAGTACAGATGACATGAGAGATGATATGTTCAACACTAGTGTCCACATTACAGGTGAATGAAATCGGTTGCACTGATATATTATCAAACTTATGGCACTGATGGACGTACGAGTAATTGGCTAAAACCGAGTCACACGCTAAGTATTCGGTCAAACCGTACACTTTCAGCAAATAGTCATCCATTTTGACCTAAAATGCATTTTACTCTCAATTAAAAGACTTTATGACCAGAAAATAAACTCACATTAGAAGCGTCTTCGACGAGAGTACAGATGACATGAGAGATGATATGTTCAACACTAGTGTCCACATTACAGGTGAATGAAATCGGTTGCACTGATAGTTGAGTTTCGATAACCAGTTTAACACTAAGAGAGTTGTCGTGTCGTGAGTCGAGTGTCGGAGATATGACGAGACCTGAGTTTGCGATGTAATCGTTGTACTTGTATTGTCGCCGCAATACAACCAATTGGTTCACGTAATTATCCAACTCTTCGTTTGCGCGACATTTACGCGAAACCACACGAAATGGTTGGCAAATGTCACTCGAGTTGGAGGCCGTCGAGTCCTTCCGCTTTTCTCGGGGTTTGCTTTCATTGGTTTCCATTTCCTTTACGACAACTTCTGGCGAATGTTTGTCGATCTCATCGGACACTCCCGACGCCGAAGACTCGGAGTCGAGTACAAAGTTATTGGAAAAGTTTAAGTCAATGTTTTCCTGACAACTCAACGGATCAAACATTTCGATAACGCTTTTGCCTTCTTCGATGTCCACCAAATCAATTAAGTCATTGTTCTTTGCTTTGGAATCGCGTACAACATTTGGATGAGTCTTTTGGTTACCGTTTGTGAGTCTTTGTATGTCTTCAGCTGTGGTAGCATTTTGTGTAGCGTTTGAAGTCATGGCTGGAAATACTGGTGAATATGAATAGTTTGAAAAGGCGTTGGAAGAGAAGGTCGGAGCGGACAGACTGTGGGAAAGCGGTGTCATTGGAGGGCCTCCCAGAGGACTGATAGGCGATACCTTCAGAACAGATATCATTGAATTAGTTTTTGAGACTAAGAACTAAATTATGGGAACAAATACTGCTGCAGACGATGAATAGGAATAATTGGCAAAAGCATTGATGCGGTTAGTGGTCGACGTGTTTGCGTTTGATGTCCACATCGGAGGTCGCGCTGAAGGGAACAAGAAGTTTGGGCCAACGCTTTGGTTCTGCCATTGAATATATGACTGAGTGGTGGAAGTGATAGTTGTTGTGGTCGGCGATAGAGATAAGTTTGGATTTGCTTCGTGTGAATGAGAAACTCGTGTTAAAGTGGTTAAGAGGTCTCGTTGTGAACGGACTCACCGAAGAACTCATTGAAGGTATGTCTGGAGTCGAGAGAGTTGTGGTTTTGGTTGTGATCCAAGTGTCGAAAACTCATCAAATCGTTGAGTTGTTTGGAGTGCTGTGGCGGCGGAGGAACCGACTGAAGAAGTTGGGCATCAGATGAGGTGACTCGCGAGGACTGCGCCATCGATGCTACGGTCCTTCGTGGAGGCAGTGGTGGAACAGATCCCGATCCTATCGATGCAAACAATGGGTTGTCATCAGTGAATGTCTTGTGACAAGAAGTAAACAATTGTTGAATCGGTGGTACAAACCATTGGATTGACTCATAGTTTGTGGCAAATGGCTATCAATTCATAATTAGTTGTCTTTTATAGCAAAATATGTATAAAAATATTGCTTTTATTATAAGAATATAATATAATATCTAATAAAATATAAAAATAACAATCAATTCATGTAAATATGAAATTTTATGAAAGGCTAAGCATTTGAGACATTATTTTCACTTCATTTACATTTTTTTCACAAATATTTCTCTCGTATGATGTCATCAATGACTCAATCAGTGCTTCATTTGAGAGCTGTTTGGGCTCTGCCTTCAAAAGCACTTATCATTCATTTGACAGTTCATCACATTTTCAGTTCATTTAATTGTCTTTAATTGTCTCAATGTTTTCAATTCAAATGTTTCATTCAATTCACAACTTATGGAAACTGTTGTGTTGACTCCAGAAATGCAGTGAAAAGTGTTGACACAAACTGTTGACTCATACAGTGTTTGCAAATTCTGTGAAACTATTTTTGGAGAACAAGAATATTCTGTGAATAACGCTATTGCAACACATTGTGTGTCAGTATTACACTAAAGTTACATAACTTTCTAATCGATAAAATTCTGTCTAATAATAAATTGATGTTTGTGTTGACCATAGAATGAATATTTTAGTATTGATTCATAAATCATGATAATGTTTAAAACTAGCAAGGTGAAATCTGCAATTACTGTATACAGTATACCGATAGATTAAACCAAATTGCACAGTAGTTTTAATACCTGTACTTTAATTATAAATAACCACAAAAGTGAATACAATTTTGTCGACAAAAAAATTTTAGTTCATTTATTTGATTTCATAATGACTTCAAGTATAAGATAGGAATACAAATGAATATCTATTTCCTAGAAATATTTGCGATGAATTGAATGCAAAGTAATAAAACAAAAATATAGTAAAAAATTTTAGTTCATTTATTTGATTTCATAATGACTTCAAGTATAAGATAGGAATACAAATGAATATCTATTTCCTAGAAATATTTGCGATGAATTGAATGCAAAGTAATAAAACAAAAATATAGTCAAATCAAAAGTTTTACGAATTGAATGTCTATAATATTAAATATATGTTAATTTAAAAGTTAATTGATTTTCGAAAATTATAATTAAATTGAAAAATTAAAAAAATAATAATTATTTGCTTTCTTCGGTCGGATTCTCCAAAACCTTATTAAACGCCACAACAGAAGAGTCGACCGCTTTTCGCATCGCATCATACTTTCAAACAAATGTTAAGATTAGTCATCAGATATAGTAATTCACAAATATTTTCATACTTTTGTTTTAATCGTTTCTTTCTGTCGCTTAAGAGAACAGATTTCGTCGTTTTGTTTTTCTGTGGCGATCGTCATCTTCTTCTGCCGGCTCTCCAACTCCTGAATGTATTCATTTAATTGCGCTAAACGTGACAAACGGTTTACCGGTTAGTCATCCGTTTTAAAGTTACATTTCAGCCTAAATACCAATTTTCTCCTGATTTACAATCAACTCCTCATTGAGTCTGACTTTCAACTTCTCGTCACTTTCCGACTGATCAATCAGCAAATCCATGTCATAAACAGTTCCGTTCTTCTCATAAATGCGAGAGTTTCCAGTTCTTGACGTGTCTTCAGACAGGTTTTGCTGATCCGAAGATGTGTTGCTTTTTGTGACCGCAAGAAGTTGTTTCGGTTCACATAAGTCTCTGTACTGAACCTTGTCTTCAGTGTTCACCAGAAGATTGAAAGCTCTTCTCGAAAGAGTGAAATTAGCGTTATTTAGAAGTTTTGCCAAATCGTCGGCCAGAATGTGTCCGCAATGACTGGCATCGAAGTAAGCGAATGACAGGTGAACGTAGTTTACAGGTATTGGAGTCGGCTTTAGACACAAAAATAATTCATTTAACAATTGATTTACATTATATAAACCGTGTATTTCAAGACATACTTTGGTTTCCACAGCCTTCTCGTCCTTCTTCTCGACCGGATTTTTGTGATTTGTTACTAAAGTCGACAAAATATAGTGCGAGAAGTGATGAATCAATGACTCTCTGATCACTTCGGAGACAATTGACATCTAAATTAAGACACAAAGTTGTAAAAACCGAATAAAAGAGTGTTTACAATGAGACCTCAAACTGATCGTATCTCTGGTGATTCAATGCCTCGTGGAGTGTGATTACAGTCAGATTCTCCCCTCCCTTCACGTAAACACATCCGTCCGTCACTTTTGTGGGAATCACT